GGGGGGGGTACTCATAGTCGTGCATGCCGCAGTCGTTAGACCATTGACCTGGCATCCCTACAAAGCCGGGACGGCGCACGCCGGGTTCTCACCGGACCAGGTTCTTACATCACCAAGCGCGAAACGCCGTGAATTATTGGGAGAGTCGCATGAAGGGTGCGCTGCATCCTGCGAAGGGTGTTCGGTATCTTGTGCTTACTTCCTTGCGTACGGATGACAGGGGGGGCGGGGGGGGTATTCACCTGTCGTTGCTGCTGAGCACCAGGTCATGGAGGGCCGTGGGCACCTCGTCCTTGTTCTTCTCCACGAACTCCGTGGCGTCGTAGATCACCTCCCCGGCGAAGTGGACAATCCCGAACGTCGCCTCCGTGCCCGCCCGGTTTCCCCCTCTCGCTCTGCGCGGCGAGTGATGTCACGATATGAATGGGTGACGTCACGATTTGTTTGAGTAACGTCGTGGTATTGATGTGTGACGTCATGATTTGAATGAGCGACGTCACGATATGACGGGTGACGTCATCATTAGTCGTGAGGGGAACAAAGAGCCGCGTGGTTCCAAGCGGGGGGAGAGGAGGGGCGCGTCCTGCTGTTCTGCTGAAGAGCAGTCCATCTGATGTCTCTCACCTACGGTCCTAGGGTACACCAATCCCTACTGCTAACGCTGTCCACAACCCCGCATGGTTGAACCCCCTCATTACCAACACTCTCGTTCATGAACAAAGTTGAGATGTATTCGAAAGTACAACACGCACATTCCACAGTAGCAATGGAACCGTGGAACGGATGACGAGAGAACCGTGCGGTACCGTACGGAACCGTACGGAACCGTACCGTACCTTGGGAGAGCAAATCGGTCGTTTCCCTTGAAGGCCTGGCGGTATCGCTTGCCCAGCTTGAGCCCCGTTCCCGTCTTGAGAGTCGACTCCTCTTTCAGGAGGGAGAGGATGCCCTGGGGCTTGCCCTCCAGCAGCCGGAGAACGTCGTCGTTGTCGGCGAACTCCACCCGGCAGTGCTCAACGTACACCTGCTTGTGTTCGTCGTGGATGCGTTGGAGTTGGAAATCCATATACGATCAGGGTAACCAAGACTCAGGCCCAGCGACAATAGAGAGACCTTGTGCTGTGGTCCCGAATCGTCTACAACAGTGCTTTAGTGATACTTGTAGATAGAAAAGACTGGTCTCAGCGAAAGACCAAGGAGAAAAACATGAAACCATCCCCGAGACACACCTTGTTGCGACCCTGATTTGTCGTTTTGAGGGTGGCGAAGACTACATAATACAGTCTGCAGCAAGAGCAACCACACAAACACATCGTGTGGAGGCCCCTACGGTACAATACTCATCCGGGACTTTGGTCTTAGAAAAGACTGTGCCAGGCTGAAGACCGCAAAGTAGAAGACAAAAGCAACAGATACACCGTACTGAGGGGATGATTCATCATTTTGGTCTACGCGAAAAAAAACAAAACCAACGGACACACCTTGCCCAGGCTCTGATTCATCATCATCTGGACCTTACTGGCTAAAGACAAACCAACGGACACAACGCGCGGAGGCCCTGATTTCGATCTCATTTGCACAAGACCAAAGCGAAAGGCCCACCTTGCTAAGGCCCTGCTTGGCAAACTCCTCCTCCTCAAGCTTGAAGACGAAGGCGTTGAACTGCTGCTGTAGCCTCTCGTTGGCGTAGTTGATCAGAAGCTGCTCCAGGGAGTTGGTTCCGAACGCTTCGAACCCGAAGATGTCCAGCAGTCCGATGAACCTTTACACAGGAAAAAAAGGGCAAAAACACTGAAAATGAATATCGTGTGTCCGACGCTGTACCCTTGCGTGTAGCCGTTGCGGCAATAACGAAGACAACCGGCTCTTTCTATTTTCGGTGCGAGCGGCATAACACACATTCGGATAAACGACAAGCTTTATAACCCCAGCCACCGGACGTGCTCTCCCCCCGCCCCCCCCGCCCCCCACGCGCGTCCAAACTATATTCTGGATTGCCATGCCATGATGGAAATTTCCGTATCACACGGAAAACCGTACGGTTGTGAAATAACGTGAAATAACGTGCGATGAAAATGGAACAATAAAACCAACGAAAAGAGACGTGTGTGGGCCACAGCCCGAGCCCAGTGGAACGTGTAAGATGTCTTGGCAGTCCCATGAACCTTCCGCGGGGAAAGAAGCAATGGCGTGATGAGTCCGACCAATCCACCAGTACCATAACAGAGTACCTAGGTTGATGAGACAACTGAATACGAGAAAATGAGTCCGATAAACCTTCCGCGGGGTAAATTAAGAGTAAATATAAACGAAAACAAGAAAAGAAGGGCGAGATCATGCAGTCTGACCGCAAACATCGAGACCACTCCCAAAAAGAGCAAGGCGCAACAACACCAGCACCGGCACCAGCAACGACGACGACTTCGACAACAACAAAACCGTCGCCAGCCGTACCAGTAGCAACAAGAGCAACCTCGACGACGACGACAATCACAAAGCACAACAAAACAATCGCCACCACTCCACCCCAAACACAACAAGGCATCTAACATACTTGTTGCTCGTGTTCGCGGCAGTCTTGGAGTTCATGGCGGCAGTCAGCGTGAGGTTGATCTTCTCCACCAGCCAGTCGAAGAGCGACGAGTACAGAGCCTTGGCCACAGCATCCCGCGCAGACGCCGCCACCTTTTCCACAACAAACCCCCCCAAAAGAACGTCAACAATCTAACAAAGTGCGTGTTTCGTTTGGGTTGTTTTAATCTTCAGTTTCAAGGACCCAATATCGGCGACATGCACCGTGGTTTTTTTTCCCCTTTCGTGGATTTCTTCCTCATCTCCGGCATTACTTCCTCAGCCCGATATTTTCCAACCGTGTTTTTTCATGTTAAGATCTGCAGCTTGAGTGTGTTTGGTTTCGGCATTGGGTGTCTTATCGATTTCGGTTTGAGGACGCAATAACGCAATGGCATAAAACGGTAAGCGTGTGTTCGTCTCTCTGGCGAGAAAACGCCAGGCGTGGCCAAG